GCATGTTTTACATGGCCAGAGCAGAAGAAAGAGAGAGAAGGGGGAGGTGCTACACACTTTAAACAACCAGATCTCATAAGAACTCACTCACTATCATGAGAAAAGCAAGGGGGAAATTCATCCCCATGATGCAATCACCTCCCATCAGGCCCCTCCTCCAACACTGAGGATTACAATTTGACGTGAGATTTGGGCGGAGACACATATCCAAGCCATATCAAGATTATTAATTATTTCCTCCACAGTTTCTAATCTACTGTTAACACAATTCATTAAAATTATCACTTCATTTGCATTTACAACTCTTAATCATTTCACTATGCTTCAGATTTTCACTTTGTAGCTTAATTATGTTTATGTTTTCCTTTAAATCTTTTCATACATTTTTAATCACTATCTTAAAGTCATTGTCTGATAACTCTGTCATTTGCCATTTCTGGATGTTTCCATTGACAGATTTTTCTCCTTGTAATGGGACACATTTTTCTGCTTTTTCTCTTGTTTTTAAATCAAATTCTGGATAATGTAAATTTTGTTTTTAAATTGTTTAATTTTTTTTTAATATAAAGAATGTTGGACTTCCAAGGTTGGGTACATTTATATTTATAATTATTGTGTTCTTTAATTAACATCATATCCCCTAAATATGTAAAGCAAATATTAAAAGAATTAACAGGAGAACTAGACAGTAATACAATAACAGTAAATGACTTTAATACTCCAATTTCAACACCAGAGATATCACCCAGACAGAAAATCAATAAATAGTGGACTTGAATAACAGTATAGGTCAAATGGATCTAACTGATATGTGTATATATATATAGAGAGAGAACATCCCATCCAATAGCAGGGATATACACATTCTTTTAAAGCATACAAAAAACATTCTTCAGGATAGATCATATGTTAGACCACAAAACAAGTCTTCACAAATTTAACAGTCATCTCAAATATCTTTACTAATCATGTTGGTAAAATCTAGAAATCAGTAACAGGAGAAATTTTGGAAAATACACTAGTATGTGAAAATTAAAAACAACACACTCCTGAAAGATCATTGGATCAAAGAAAAAGGCATATATTTTATTATTATTATTTTTTTTAGATGGATTGTCCCTCTGTCACCCAGGCTGGAGTGCAGTGGCTCGATCTCTGCTCACTGCAACTTACACCTCTCGGGTTCAAGCAATTCTGCTGCCTCAGCTTCCTGAGCAGCTGGGATTACAGATGTGTGCCACCATGCCTGGCTATTTTTTTTTTTTTTTTGAATTTTTAGTAGAGATAGGGTTTCAGCATATTGGTCAGGCTGGTCTCAAACTTCTGACTTTGTGATCTGCCCACCTCGGCCTCCCAAAGTGGTGTGAGCCACCACACCTGGCTGAAAAAAAATTTAGAAAGAAATTAAAAGAAGTATCTTGAGAAACAAGTGGAAATTACAATATACCAAAACATAGGGAATGCAACTAAAGGAGTTCTGACATGGAAGTTTCTAGCCATAAAAGCCTACATTAAGAAAAAAACTACTTCAAATAACTCAACTTCACACCTCGAGGAACTAGAAAAAGAAAAGTAAATATTGCAAGGGCAGCAGAAGGGAGGAAATAATAAAAATAAGAGTAAACATAGATAAAATAATAGACTAGAAAAACAATAGAAAAAGTCAATGAACCTAAATATCTGGTTGAAAATATCAACAAAATTGGCAAGCATTCAGCTATGCTAGCCAAGAAGAAAGAGGGAACTCAAATAAAATTATAAATGTAAGGTAAACCATTACAATTAATATCACAGAAATACAAAGGATCACAAGAGATTATTATGAACAATTATAATAATTATACATCAACAAATTGGATAACCTAGAGAAAAATAATAAATTCCTGGAGACATACAGTCTACCAAGATTGGATCATAAAGAAAATAAAAATCTGAACACACCAATAACAAATAGAATTATTGAATCAGTAATCAAAAGCCTCCCAACAACAACAACAAAGCTCAGGACTAGATGACTTCATTGGTGAATTCTACCAAGCATTTAAAGAATTAATGCCAATCCTTCAAACCTTTCCAAAAAGTTGAAGAGAATAGAACACTGCCAAACTAATTTTAGGAGTCCAGAATTACCCTCATATTGAATTCAGATAAAGACACTAAGAAAAGAAAATTACAGGTCAATATATCTGATGAACATAGATGCAAAAATCCTCAACAAAAATTACTAGCAAACCAAATACAATTCACATTAAAAGGATAATACATCACGATAAAGATTCATCCTTAGGATGCAAAAATAATTCAACATGTGCAAATTAATAACTGTGATACACCACATTAACAAAATGGATAATATAACTTACTATGTTAATAGACACAGAAAAAGCATTTGACCAAATTCAACATTCTTTCATAATAAAACCTCAGAACAAATTAAATGTAGAAGAAATATACCTCAACACAATAAAGGCCATATTTAACAAACCTATAGCTAACTTACACTCAATGTTGAAAAGTTAAAAACTTTTACTATAACATCAGAAAGTAGAAAAGGATTCTTACTTTTGCCACTTCTATTTAAAATAGTACTAGAAGTCTTGGCCAGAGCAATTAGGCAAGAAAAATAAATGAGAGGTATTCAAATTGGAAGGGAACAAGTAAAATTGTCTCTACAGATGACAAAATCTTATATATAGAAAACTCTAAAAACTTCACCAAAAATATTTTAGAATGAATGAAGTAGTTTGGAAATTTTTCAGGATACAAAATCAACACACAAAAATTACCTGGGTTTCTATACACCAAAAAATATGTATTCAAAAAAGAAATTAAGAAAGCTATTCTGGGCCGGGTGCGGTGGCTCAAGCCTGTAATCCCAGCACTTTGGGAGGCCGAGACGGGTGGATCACGAGGTCAGGAGATTGAGACCATCCTGGCTAACATGGTGAAACCCCGTCTCTACTAAAAAATACAAAAAACTAGCCGGGCATGGTGGCGGGCACCTATAGTCCCAGCTACTCGGGAGGCTGAGGCAGGAGAATGGCATAAACCCAGGAGGTGGAGCTTGCAGTGAACCAGGATCCGGCCACTGCACTCCAGCCTGGGCGACAGAGCAAGACTCCGTCTCAAAAAAAAAAAAAAGAAAGAAAGCTATTCTGGCTGGGCGCGGTGGCTCACACCTGTAATCCCAGCACTCTGGGAGGCCGAGGCGGGCAGATTACGAGGTCAGAGGTGATCAAGACCATCCTGGCTTACACAGTGAAACCCCATCTCTACTAAATATACAAAAAAATAGCCGAGTGTGGTGGCGGGCACCTGTAGTCTCAGCTACTCCTACTTGGGAGGTTGAGGCAGGAGAATGGCGTGAATCCAGGAGGTGGAGCTTTCAGTGAGCCAAGATCACACCACTGCACTCCAACCTAGGTGACAGAGAGAGACTCTGTCTCAAAAAAAAAAAAAAAAAAAGAAAACGAAAAAGAAAACAATTCAATAATATCAAAAAGAATAAAATACTTAGAAATAAATTTAAACAAAGAGATGAAAGATCCATACACTGAAAAGACATTGAGGAAAGAAATTAAAGACAAATAAATGAAAATATATCTTCCATTCATGGATTGGAAGAATAATTTTGTTAAAATGTATATATTACCCAAAGAGATCTACAGATTCAATGAAATCTCTATAAAAATTCCAATGACATTTTTCATAGAAATAGAAAACAATCTTAAAATTTATATGGAACCATAAAATACTGTGAATAGCCAAAGCAAACATGAGCAAGAACAAAGCTGAAGGCATCACACTTCCTGATTTCAAACTATATTACAAAGCTATAGTAATCAAAACAACATAGTACTGACATAAAAACAGATACATAAACCAATAGAGCAGAGCAAAGAATCCAAACATATACCCACACATACATGTTCAACTAATCTTTGACATGAGTGCCAAGATTACAATGGGAAGATAGTCTCTTTAATAAATGTTGTTGGGAAAATTGGATATTAACATGAAAAAGAATGAAGTTGGAGCCTTGTCTTACACCATATATAAAAATTAGCTCCAAATGGATTAAGGACTTAAATGTAAGATTCAAAATCATAAAACTTCTAGAAGAAAACAGAAATAGAAAGCTCCTTGAATTTTTAATGCATTGATTTTTTTATATATGATAACAAAAGTAAAAATAAACAAATGGAAATATATCAAACTAAAATGAGCCTGTAGAGCAAAGAATAAAATTCAAAAAAAGAAAAGGCAACCTATGAAATGAACTAAAATATTCAAAATTGTATATTTGATTAGGGTTAAATGAGGAATTCACACAATTGGAAAAAAAAAAAAAAACTATTCTTAAAAATAGGCAAAGAACCTGAACAAACTTCTTTTTCAAGGAAGACATAAAAATGTTGAGCATGTACATGAAAAAGTGCTCAGTGTCACTAACCATTAGGAAAATGCAAATCAAAACCCCAATGAGCTATCACCTCACATCTGTTAGGAAGATTATTATCAAAAAGATAAGAGATAACAAGTGTTAATGAAAATGTAGAGTAAAGGTAAATCTTGTACACTGTTGGTGGAAATGTAAACTAGTAGAAGAATTATAGAAAACAGTGTGAAGTTTCCGCAAAACTTTAAAAACAGAACTACTATATGATCTAGCAATTCTATTTATAGGTATACATCCAAAGGAAATGAAATCAGTATCTTGAAAAGATAAATTCACGTTCAAGTTCATTGTAGTATTATTCACAGAAGCCAAGATATTGAAACAATCTAAGTTTCCATTAATGGATGAATAGATAAAGAAAATATAGTATGTATTTATGTATGTATAAATAAATAAATATACACATATACAAACAATGGAATATTATCCAGCCATAAAAAAGAAGGAAATCCTTACATTTGTGACCTGGAGGATCTTATGCTAAGTGAAATAAGCCAGACACAGAAAGAGAAATACTGCACAATCTCACTTATATGTGGAATCAAACAAACTCAGAATCACAGAAGCAGAGAGTAGAATGGTGGTTGCCAAAGGCTGGTGCGGGGGAAGGGAGTTGGGAGAAATGGGAAGATATTGGTCAAGGTGTTTATATATTGTAAGATAAATACATTCTGAAGATGTAAGATACAGAATGAGTGATAATGAAGGTGTTCATTAATTTTTTAAAAATAATGTTGGGCTTTGTTCTAACAGACACTTATATAACTTGCAGGTTGGCTTAATTATTTAGAGACCCCTTCATAAGCTTTTTTAGGGTGGGACTAGAGTAGATTTTTCTCTAAGTCTGCTTTAGCCCTACCACCATTCTGGGATGTCTACTGAGTGCTCTGTGGTTCACCCTCCGCTTTGCATGATTGGGACTCAAATGTCTCACAGAAATGCATGAGCTCTGCAAATTGCTCAGCTTACAACTTCAAGTTTCTCTTTGTTCTACATCATTGAGTTTTACTCTATACATACGTAGTTTAGTAGTCAGCTAAAAACTCAAAGGCCTATACACATATTTCTAGGACTCTTTTTCTATGTAGATTCCAGATTTCAACCACCTCAGATTACTCAAACTCTAATCTCTGTCTCTTCAAGTGAAAGAGTCTACTATACTTTGCTTAGATTCCCCTTTCTCTACCACAGTACAGAAAATGCCTACAAAAGAAAGCTGGAACAAACATAAGACTCACCTCATTTGTTTCCCTTCTCCAAAGGATCACATTGCTGAGATGCCAGCTGTCCAATGCCTGAAAAGAGCTGTTTAATATATCTGGTCCATTTTCCAGTTATTTATGGCAGGAAGGCAAGTCTGGTACCAGTTGGCTAGAAGTGGGAGTCTATCACACTGTATTTTAATTGCTCATTTTTGTGTAGTAGGAATCTCAGTTTGAGCACAGGCTACATGCAGGGCTGAACTTCAGGCATGTTTGATGTATTAGTTTTTTTTGTTGTACTGTAACAAATTAACACAAATTTAGTAACTCTAAACAACACAAATTTATTCTCTTAGAATTCTGGTAGTCAAAGTCTGAAATGAGTCTTGCAGGGCTAAAATCAAAGTGTTGACAGCACGGTTCCTTCTGGAGGCTCTAGACAGAATCTTTTCCTTGTCTCTCCCAGCTTCTCAAGGCTGCCCACATTCCTTGGCTCACAGCCATGTCACTCCAATCTCTGCTTCTGTTGTCACATCACATTCTTCATACTTTCAAACTCCTACCTCCCTTTTATAAGGACACTGTGTTTACATTGGAACCACCTAGATAATCCAGGATAATTTACCCATTTCAAGAACCTAACTGCACATGCAAAGTCCTTTTTGCCATGTAAAATAATATATTCACCTGACAGTTGGGGCTTGGACATCTGTGAGGAACAATTTTTCACTCTATTACATTTGGCAATCTGTGTAAAAATCACATAAGAATGTATTTATGTGAAGATTTTGGATTTTAAATTAAGCAGGAAGGGAGAAATTGTATGAATTGACCATAGGAGTGAGCTAACAGAGAAGACTGTGTATTTATCAGGTTCTCCACAGAAACAGGAATAGGATGGAGACAGAAGAATATGAGAGAAGAAAGTGAGCAAGAGAAAAAGATTTATTTAAAAAAAATAGTGCACATAATTTTAGAGGCTGGTAAGTTCAAAATATGCAGGGAAGCCTGGCAGGCTGGGAATTCCAGCAGGAGTCAATGCTGCAGGCTTAAGTTGAAGGCAGTTTGGAGGCAGAATGCTTTCCTCTTCTGAAGACTTCAGTCTTCAATCTTTTATCTTAAGGTCTTCATCTGATTGGATGAGGCCAACCCACATTATGGAGAGTAATATGATTTATTCAGTCTACTGATTTAAATCTAAAATATACATTCAAATACATTGACAGTAACTTCTGGATTGCTGCTTGAACAGCAGCTGAGCACCATACACTGAATTGTCTGTGATTGTCAGTTTTGTGCATCAGCTAGTTGATGCACAAAACTGACAATCACAGACAGCATACTGTCTGTCCATCCACCCAATTACCTAAGGAGAGGAGTTGCTGTAGACAGAAAGTAGAGTTATCTACATAAGAAATTTAAGACATATTTTCATAGAATAAAGTATGACACTGACATGAGGAGTCTGAAGTGAATATAAAAACATTTTGGCACCTTAAGCTTTTGGAGGCCTTGAGAACATTGAGACATAAATTTTGGTGTGGACTTTCCCATTCTTTTAGTAAGATGAATCTCTTTTAAATAGCTTATCTAACAAAGAATATCAATGAGAAGGAGCCCAGGCATAAGGTAAAGATAAAGCCAGTGCTGAGAGGCTGACTCCTGAACACATGTGAAACAGCCCCTGAAAACTCTCAATTACTTGAGGGAGATTATGAAAGTTCCCAGGTGTCCTTTGCAGATTTCAGGAATTTACAAAAAATTATTAATATATTATAAATATTAAAGTGATCCAATCTATATCCATATGGGGACAATGCCTAAGAAAATTCTAGTTACTATTATTTGTCCCACCATTAAGCAGGGAGCTATTTGATTATTGTCTGTTCTTACTCATGATTGTATCTTAGTGGCAATTCATAAATATGCATTGAATGAATGAGTCAGTCAGTGAATTAGTAAGAAGAGATTAAGGTAAGAGAGAAGAAAATGAAAACAACTAAAGTCATTCTGAATGGTGAGAAGTTTGATGGTAAGTTATATTCAGCTTTTGGTATACTTATATTTCCCAACCTCCCAATTATTGTCATGCAAGGTGCCAAGGAATACACGGAAAATGGCACCACACACAAAGTGATATGCAATCAGAATTCTTGCATTTAAATATAAAACCATAGAAAATCACTGTCAAATTCTAGCATGTCAATGTGTCTGGTTGCAAGGGATAGCAAACGGAATCTTGTAGTTATCTCCTGTTGTGCATCAGAAGCTATATACCCATTGCAGAGCCCGGTGACCTCTCAAGCATGTGGTTCTGCAAGCTTTCTTTAACATAATAGCAGATGTTTTGTCTTTAAGCATAAAAAGACAATTTTAAATAGACAATTTTATTAAAAAAGACAATTTTAAATAGTTAAGTTGATGACACTTTTAAGAAAGAAACTGCATAGAAGGAAGTAAAGTGGTCCAATATCTTTGTGGGGATTATATATATTCAGGGGATTGAAAAATACAAGAAGACACAAAATGCATGCGACAGATAGGAGAGGAACCAGGAGAGTTCGTATAATAAAAACTAGGAAGAGAGAGGGTTTTAAAAAGAAGGAGGAAGAAATGGGAAGGGTTGAATGCTGCAGAATGTTTAGGGAGGATGATAAATTAGAAAGGTGTTTACTATTTGGCAATTAAGAAAATGTACTAAAAGATAAAGTAATGTCCCTGAGGAGATGAGAGGAGAATGATGTAAAGCAGGTAGAAAGGTTATCTTTGGACAAATCATAGGAAGGAGGAAGTGAGGGAAGTCTGGGAACTCAATGTATGAAATCCCATTGAAGCAGGAAATTGATAGAGAAGGTAAAAGAACTTCACACTGGTAACTTGAAATAAAAGAAAGAATGAGAGAATATATTGAAAGTGAAGAAGTTGCAAAGAAATCTATTGAATCAGCTGCCATAATATGAAATGCTGTTATTAGAGCGTGTCTTCTCAGATTCCAAGTCTGCTGGTGAGAGTAGGCTGTGACATAGTTTTGACTATGGAGTAGAGGTAAAGGAATACAGATTTCTAAAATATATCAGTAGGAGAAATTAATCGTAGGAGGTTTCACAGTGACATTTCAGGTTTTGGGCCTGCCATCAAATGTATTCATTCATCCATCAATTCAACTCAGTAGGTATTCATTGACTAGTTGAGTAGTTACTTCAAACCTAATGATTTGTTAGAATGATGAGCAAAAGTAGACATAAACTCTAACCTTATAAGCCTTTTTTATGTGAAAGGGGAATGGGGGAACAGGATATTGATATTAATAATAATGGCATAAATGAATGTAAAACATTAACATTTATAAGTTCTTTAAGGAAATATGAGAGTGATGTATGGGAAGATAAAGCCACGTGTTTTGAAGAGTCAAGGAAACAATTTAACAAAAAGATTATATCAATTCTCTGCCATTTCTTTCAGATGATAGAAGCAGAGGAAATACTTTCTAATGAATTTTTTGAGACTAGTATTTCCATAATATCAAAACCAGACTAAGACCATGCAAGAAATAAAACTAGATACCAGTAACTCTCATGATAGACAGATAGATAGATAGATCCAAAAATCTTTATAAATTATTAGCAAATCAAATTCAATAATATGTAAACAGAATTATATATCATAACCAAGTGAAACTGATCCCAGATATGCAAACCCAGTTCAACATTCAAAAATTAGTTAATGTAATCTTATCACCTCAACAGGCTGAAGAAGTAAAACACAGGATCATATCAATAGATACAGAAAAAAAGCAGTTGACAAAATCCAACAGCCATTCACACTAAAAAGTATCAGTAAATTAGGAAGAGAGAAAAACTTCCTCAAATTGGTTGAGAACATCTATTAAAAAAAAAAATACAGCTAACATCATGCTTAATGGTGGTAAACTCAAAGCTTTCCCACTAAAATCAGGAACAAGGAAAGGATGTCCCATTTCACTCTGTTCTTCAATATGGTATTGGAAGTTCGAGATAATGCAAAGAGTCAACAAGAAAAGAAAAGTGAAACAAGAAATAAAATTGTTCACAAATGACATGGCTATCCATGTAGAAAATCTGAAGGAATTTAAAAGAAAAGTAAATAAACCTAGAATCAATACATGATTATAGTAAGGTTGCAGGATGTAAGGTTGGTATGCAAAAGTCAACCGAGTCCCTGTATATCAGCAATAAAAAAGTAGAATTTGAAATTAGGAAACAATACTATTTATAATAATAGTATCTAAAAAATAACATATAAGAAGCACATGAAAAAACTCTAAATCCCTTAATTTAAAAACTAAATAAATGAAGAGAGCTCATATTTATAGATAGAAGACAATATTATTAACATGCCAGTTATTTCCAGCTTATTTCTAGATTAAACGCAATCCCAATCAAAATTCACAGAAAGTTATTTTGTGGATATTGACAAATGCCTCTTAAGTTTAGATGAAGACGCAAAAGACCCCCCATAGCTAACAAAATATTGAAGGAGAACAAATTTGGAGGACGAATACAACCGGATTTCAAGACTTACTACAGAGTTACAAGGTAGTGTGATATTGGAGAATCAATTAATTGATTTATGGCATAAAAAAGAGAGCCCAGACAGGACTCAAATAAATATAATCAGCTAATCTTTGACAAAGGGTTAAAGGCAATATAATGGAGAAAAAAGTATTTTTTTGTTTTTTACAATGGAGAAAAAAGTATTTTTCAATACAATGAAGAAAAAAGTATTTTCAACAAATGGAAATGGAACAATTAAGCATCCACATGCAAAAAAAAAAGGGGGGTGTATTTAGACACAGATCTTATCACCTTCTCAAAAACTCAAAATGGATTGCAGATCTTAATACAATATGCAGAACTATAAACTCCAAGAAGATAACGTAGGAGAAAATGTAGATGTCACTGATTTTGATGATGACTTTGTAGACACAATGCCAAAGGCACGATCTATGTAAGAATGGTAAACTGGACTTCATTAAAATTAAAATTTTCTGCTCTGTGAGAGGCAGTCAAAATAATAAAAAAAATTCAAAAAATGAGCTACAGACTAGGAGAAAATATTGCAGAAGACACATCAATTGGACAAAGGACTTGTCAAAAATATTCAAAGAACGCTTAAAACTCAACAAGAAGGAGAAAAAGACAAACAAACCCTGATTGAAAAAAAAAAAAAAAAAAAGACTTAACAGCCTGGGTGCAGTAGCTCATGTTTGTAATCCCAAGACTGAGAGACCAAAGAAGGAGAATCTCTTGAGCTCAGGAGTTTGAGATCCACCTGAGCAAAATAGTGCGTCCTTGTCTCTACTAAAAATCAAAAAAATTAGCCGGGTATGGTGGCGTGTGCCTGTAGTCCCAGCTACTGAGGAGGCTGTGGTGGGAGGATCACCTGAGCCCAGGAAGATCGCTTGATACCAGGAGGTCAAGGCTGTGGTAAGCTGTGATTACACCAATGCACTCCAGCCTGGGCAATAGAGCAAATTTCTGTCTCCAAAAAATTATATATATATATATAAAATATATATATATAAACAATATATATATAATTCTGCTCAGATATCACCTTAACAGATATCACCAGAGCAGATATGCAGATGGCAAATAAGCATATGAAAAGATGTTCCACATCATTTGTCATCAGGAAAATGCAAATTAAAGCAAGAATAAGATACCACCATACATCTATTAGAATGACCAAAACCCAGAAACACTGACAACACCAAATGCTAGTGAGGATATGGAGCAACAGGAACTGTCATTCATTGCTGGTAAGAATGCAAATGGTACAGCCACTTGGGAAGGCAGCTTGGCAGTCTCTTATAAAACTAAACATATTCTTACCACATAATCCAGCAATCACACTACTTGATATGTACTTGAAGGAGTTGAAAAAGTATGTCCACACAAAAACCTGCACTTCATAGCAGATTTATTTAAAATTGTCAAAGGTTAAAAGCAACCCCAAACATCCTTCATTAATCCAACCAATGCATATAGTTAGGACTAAAAATTGGTCTATCTAGCTCTGGAAAGACAAGAAGGAAACTTTAAATATATATTACTACATGAAAGAAGCCAATCTGAAAATGCTACATATGTATGATTCCAACCATACAACATGCTGAAAAAAGCAAAACTATGAAGATAGCAAAAAGATCAGTGGTTGATAGGATTTTAGGGGATGTAGAGAGGTTACTTCAGGCAGTGAGACTATTCTGTATGATACATTTGTGCAAACCCATAGGATATACAACACCACGAATGAATCCTAATGGAAAATATTTGTGCTAGGTGATAATGATGTGTCAACGCTGGTCATCAGTTGTAACAAATGCACCACTCTGGTTGGAAATGTTGATAATGGGGTAGGCCATGTATGTGCAGGAACAGAGGATATATGGAAAATGTCTCAATTTTGTTATGAAGCTGAAACTACTCTAAAAAACTAAAATATATCAAATAAATTTTCTAAAAATGTTATTGGAGACTCTATCCATGATAAGGCTATAGAGGTAGATAGGAGTCAAATCAGTCCAGGTCATAGGGAAATTTTGTCATAAATCAGAAGATAATAAACAGAAACTAGCTTGATCAAGTTTACATTTTTGAAAAGATATTCTGGCTGCAATGTGAAGATTAATGTGGATGGGGTGCCACAATAAATGGAATTTAGACCAATAGAAAAGCTATTGCAGGGTAGAGGTTATTGTAAATTAGAAAAGGTAGTGGTGACTAGAAGAGAAAGTACATGAGAGATATTTCTAATCAAAGTCAAAAATCTTGTTGATACATTGAACATTTCATATGTGACACTCACTTGATTAGTAAACAAGTTGATGATTATTGCATCTGTGTGTATGGATGCTATAGTCATATTTACATGCTAACAAACTACTACCAACAAATTACAGCATGAATTTCCCTCAACGTGAAGAAGAGATGGAATGTTCATAATGAGGAAGAAGTCTTCTGATTTTCTAAATAGGTAGGTATCAGGGTACTATTTGAATTTGACAACAAAATTCACAGATTATGTAACTTGCTTTCCACTGTCATTGAGTCTTCAAGCTAGTGAACAATGTGACCATTTATTCTAAAAGGAATAAGCACCCAACCAAATCAGAGAGCTGACTAACGGCTCCAGTAATATTCCCATCAGAACTCATTCTGGCATCAAACTAAGTTCCCCAGACAAATTACTAAGTTTTACACATAAATTTTTCCTTCTCCATATTTCTCTCAGCCAAAGCTTTATTCCAACTTACTTTAAATTTCTTTCCTGTTTTTCTTTTCTTCCATAAAATAAATGCGAGTACTTTCACCTCGAAGTGACTTCTCCATTTTATTGTCTTTTAAGAAATTCTCCTCAGTCTCCAGTAGTCTATTTTGGTACTGAGAATGAAGTTAGGAAAAAAATATAATTTTAGATTTTAAGCTCTTTGAGAGAATTTTGCCTACCTTTTTTCTCCACAATATCCCTAAAACGTATTCTAATGCTGGGGATATTATCAGTATTTAATAAATTATTGTTGAATAAACAATAAATACATTACTGAATGAAGTTAATGTAAGTATCATTTTCTCATATCAACTTTCCCCAATCCCTTATAATAGGTCATGTCCCCTATTAATCACCTTTAAGTCCCCATTCTTCTCCTTCATGGCACCACTCACCATTGTAATTAAGTTATAAACTGTGTAATTGGTTGTTTAATTTATATTTTATAGCATACTTTGAGCTCCATGAAAGCAGGTACCACTCTGCCCCTATTCACTGATATCTGCCCTGTGCTTAATACTGACTGAAACACAGAAATCATGAAATGAGTATTTGTTGTAAATTTATACACAGTAAGCAATGTAATTAAGGGATATGAAAAATCTTAGATGAGAGAAGAAATTTGCAGCTTCAGATTCATGTCAATTTTTCAGTTGATAAAATGGAGACCCAGAAAAGTTAAGTGACTTGCTCAGTGTTTCATAGATAATAAGTTGTCAGAGCTGTATTTTAATCTCAGTTCCCTCCAACTCCATAGCCTGTGCTTTGAAATGGAAACACTGTGCCACGCTGCACCATTTAAGCAATGATATATTCATTTAAAGCACCAGAGATCACATTTTAGGGAGAGAAAAAGTTTGTAGTATGAGATGAATCAATCAGCCATATGGAAGGAAGAAAAAAAGAACAGGCTGAAAAGCTTCCTTTCACTTTGTACAATATGAATTGTCACAGGAATCAAATTTGGCACATACTGTAAAGCAAAGAAAAAAAATTATCCCACATTGGATGTAAAATGTGACTTGCATTTTATCTATGTTTTTGAAATTCGGAAGAGGATACCAGAAGACTTGTGGAGTTGAGGGCATGATGTTTTGATGATAGGCTTTTTATGCACTTATCCCCAGGCAGCTAGAGGAGGACCTGAAAAATTGAAGCCGACCTCAGACATAATGAATACATTAAATGATGAAGCGTCTGGTCAGGGTCAGGCAGCCTCCTTGAAGAGAGTAGATGTGTCTCAGGACACTGAGTCTCCAGACAGAGGCAGGGGCAAAGAAATGGTCTATCAGGGCATAAAACATTTACATCTGTTCTTCTTCTGTCACTTCTCTTTGAGGTTGTTTCCCTTGCCTTCAGCAACATCGCAGGCTCACAACCAGATTCTTATGCCTGCTAATTAGAAGAGAGGTCTAACAGCAGCGATCAAGTCTCCACCTGCAACTGGCACCTAATTCTAACAATATCAAATAGATAATGGAAATTATGGATCATTAATTATTAACTCCATCTAACCTGCCACATTCAAGTTCCACAGATTGTCACTTCCCATATGGCTGTGCAGTCAAGGCTTTGCACTGTGGAATCCTAAGTACCCAACTTTCTAACAGGTCCTTATCACAGAATTTCACATATCAAAGGCATTTTTGATTTCCAAGTAAAACACACAGCCCATGCACTAATCCTCTTTTAAAAAAATCTGTCTCAAAATCTCATCTAGCCTGTGTTACAATCCCATGATTGGGAGTCACTACCTCCTCAGGCAACCTCATTCTGTTTTTAGGATAGGTAAAATCGCTAGAAAAATCTTCCATGGTTAAACCAAAATTGAGTTCTTTGTGGCTTCTGCTGCTGTGGCTTCCTCTGCTCTAAAGAATTTCATCCATTCTTCATCTACATTGTATGTCATGTTGTAAAAAACATGGCATCCTAAAAAGAGTTCTGGAATTTTACAAGCATGAGCTCAAATGTTAATTCTGGACGTAGAAACATTTATTATTTCTCAAACTCAATTTCCTCACCTATACAATGAGGATACCACCTCATGGAATTCCTGCTATACTTAAATGAGTTAAATGCTACCTAGTGCCAATGGGTAGACTTCAATGGTAAAGAGCATGAACTCTGGAACCAGGTTGCTTGGTTTGAACCTTGGCCCATAACACTTACTAGCTGTGTGACCTTGGGAAAGCTACTTAAACTCTCTGGTCTCCTTTTTTATCATATTTACAATAGCTATAAGGAAAGTAACATTTCTTATATCAGAGGGTTGTTTGGAAGATTCGTAAGTTAATATGTTAGGTCCAGTTTTAATCAGGGTAAGCTAACTGCTGTATCAAAGGAAAAGCCCCAAATCCTAGAGCCTTATGACAAAAAAGACTTATTTCTTGCTGTCATCACTATAAAATTGGACAATTCAAGGATACAGTCTCCTTCTATCTGGGAGCATCATTGTCCCACAGGACCTTGGCATCTTCCACTGGATCCCCTGTTTTCAGTACAGGTAATCACAACACAGAAGAGTGAAGAAGGACACAGACTTTTAGCCACCATGGCCTAAAACTGTCCCACATCTCTTCAATTCACATCCTACTGTCCAGAACCAGTCATCAGTCATGGGCAACGCTCACACATAAAAGCCCTGGGAAATGAAGGCCAGTGATTTGCCTAGGAAAAATAGTAAGTAGGTTTGGTGCCAGTTACCGGTGGAGACTTGATTGCTGCTATCAGACCTCTGTTCTAAATAGCAGGCATAAGGAACAGTAAGTGGGTTTGGTTTGGTGGTTCCTCATACATCATGGTTGAGGGTCTTTCATCAGTTCTTAGACTTCATAATGTCACCAACATTTTGGATCTTAACCAGTGCAATGCATATTGCTTTTAGTTTTCGGTATGCACACAATATAAACACATATCAATTGGTTCATTTTTCAATATCTTTGTTGTTGTTTATCTTATGTTTTCAAAATGGAGAAAGCCTTGTAAAGGAAGGAAATTCTGACACATGCTACAACATGTATGAATCTAAAAGACATTACATTAAGTGAAATATATGTATGTCTCTGCCACAAGGACTGAGAAGAGTGCCTGACACTTCAACACACACTGTTAAGTGTGGGTTATTATTATTACCATGCCATGTGATGATAGCAACTAGAGCAATTGTAATTAAAATAGTCCTTGATACTTAAAAAGCCATCATATTTGCTGGACTAAGCATCCTTTTTGTCATTTTTTCATCCATCATGGATCTTTCATCAGTTCTTAGACTTCATAATGTCACCATCATCTTGGATCCTAACCAATGCAAATTGTATTGCTTTTAGTTTTTAGTATGCACACAATATAGACTCATATCAATTGGTTGCTTTTTTAATACCTTTATTTTTCTTCATCTTATGTTCTCTCTGAATCCATGCCTTGCATTTAACTAAGACTTAGCTTCAGGACATGCCATTGATCAGAGATTTCAAACTATGGGCTTTGACTCCCGAGTGAGACAAGGATATTTCAGTGGATCTAAAGTATGTTTCTATAATGGAATAGAAAAAAATATATATACATATATATATATGTATAGTTTGTTGTTAGATTTAAATGAGTTTCTTTATGCAAATCATTAGAACAGTAAATTTTCAAAATGAAGAAAACCTTACAAAGGAATGAAATTCTGACATATGTTACAACATGTATGAATCTAGAAGACATTATACTAAGTGAAATAAGCCAACCACAAGAGAATAAATATTATATGATTCCTCTTCGATGATGTCAAGAGCTGTCGTGTTCATAGAGATAGCAAGTAAAATGGTGGTTGCCAGGGAATGGAGTAATGAGGAATTGTTGTTGAATGGGTACAAAGTTTCAATTTAGGAAAATTCAAAATGTTCTAGAGATGGATGAGATGGTAGTTGTTCAGTATATGAATATACTTAATGCTACTGAACTGTGTGCTTAAACATGGTTAAATGGTCAATTTTATGTTGTTATTTTAACAAAAGAAGAAAAAAATGGAAAAAAAATAAATCAGAATAGGTTAAAAATATGAGAGTCTCACACTAGAGTGAGCTAGGTATTATTTTATGAAACATTTATTTCATACATGTGTGTACTTACCAATGAAGTAAATGTATTTCTTAGTATGGGTCAAGGTTAAATAAAAGCTACTATTCCAGAGAACAAGTATCACAACAACACGATTATGCATATGCATTACTGTTTGAGCACAGTCGTCCTTGCTGAATCTAAAACTCATAACAATTGTTGCTTTTCAAATTCCAGAAATTGTTGTAGCAGTGCACACACACATAACCCCCACCGCCGCTACCACCACTTTCCACTTACAACAATAACTCCATGCTCTCACATGTTTAAAGACATGACTATGCTATCTGTCCCTCCCTTCCCTCCTGATCATTCTTCCCTTCCTTTATGGATCAACTTAAATGTTGTTCACCTGCAAGCTTTTTTTGACTTGACCTCTGTCTGTGATAAGAGAAAAACATACTCCTCTAAGATAGCATTTATTATTTCATTTGTAATTTTTTTTTAATTTTTTCCCCACTGAGTCATAATCTCAGAAGAAAGTGTTTATCTTGCTCACCAGAAAATCTCCAGGATTTATCAGAGTGTCCAGAAGGCACTATAATATGTTTAAAAATTGTTAATGGATAAATGAATGATGATTGAATAAAGACACAGAGCTACCTCAGTCACAACTTCAAATTAAAAGATATATAGCATAAGCTGTTAGATAGCCTAGAATAAATACTAATTTCATATTTATCCTGTGTCTTTTTACTTCTCTGTGGTTTTTCCTTAATCATGTAGATACTTATTTCATAGTTATTGATGACCCCTTTTTTCAATATGAGAGTAAGGAACTTAGAGTAAAAAGAATGTATGCAACGAAACTGTTAAAGTCTTTTTTAGAGAAATGAAACACAAACATAATAATGACAGCTCATACAAAGAGTGAAATTGAGCTTCTCTTTTACCTCTGTGTTTTATGGCAGCCACAGATGCCTGAAATTACAGATGTGCCTATAAACTCCTAACACCCCGAAACCTTTAGTTGCTCCTTTGAAGGTATCATTTGCACAGATACCTCTTTAAAAGGTGACAATTTTTCCCATATCCTGAAACCACTCACCCATTAAGCCCTGTTGTATTGCTCTTACCTTCTTGCTATTATCATATTACTCTTTATTCTTGACATCTAATCTATCGAAAGGGAGAGACTTGCTGTGCTATGCTTCCATTCACGTGCTGCCAGGTTGCTGGGGACGAGGCTAATCTGTCATTTTGGGTCAGGAGGGAGGCTGGAAGCAGTTAGGTGAGTAGTGAGTCATGACCTTTGCTTTTATGATTTTTCCCATTTTGAACTAACTTTCAGACTTTTTATTGTCGTTGTTAGTCCACTGTTAATTCTACAGGAGATTCTATAAAGAACAAAAAAAGAATAAACTTTGGATTATTCATTTTCACTATCAAATAAACCTATCATGGTTATTTAAAGGGCAAGTTAGTTCTCTGATGACATTTTCCACATCACATTTAGAACCTTCTACTAACACAAGATGTTAGTTTGCCTTTCCTTCACTCAAGGTATTGACAAATATTAATAAAAAACTATCTCTTGGACCACCTCTGCAGCATATCATCAATAAACAGCTAACTATTTCAAGTCTGCCATTCAAAAAAAATTCAGAATATATGTCCCCTCACCCAGGAAGTTCCAGCTTTGAGGATTTAGAGTAGGAACCAGAAACTACTAGTAGCTTTTATAATTAGCAAGTCACTATCACACACTCTAATGAAATCGCATGATCCCCAGGACCTTTAGAGTCAAATGATTTACTCCAAAATTAAAGGTCTTTTTCTATCGAGAATTGTATATCTATATTCCAGCCTTGAAAAGACACCACAATTAGATGTGAAAATTACTTACTGTGTACATTGTTAGGTAAACTGTTTATGGAAATAAAAGATACACATTCCTATGAATCCGTAGAAGTATTATCTGGCTAGAATAATGAGAACATAGTTCAAATAAGAAGAATTTAGTTTTGAATAGGAAAAGAACAAAGTCTACATAAGAATGTCATACCCAGCCAGGCATGGTGGCTCACGCCTGTAATCCCAGCACTTTAGGAGGCTGAGGCGGGCAGATCATGAGGTCAGGAGTTCGAGACCAGCTTGGCCAACACGGTAAAACCCCGTCTCTACTAAAAATACAAAAATTAGCTGGATGTGGTGGTGCGTACCTGTAATCCCAACTACTCGGGAGGCTGAGGCAGGAGAATCACTTGAACCTGGGAGGCGGAGATTGTGGTGAGCCAAGATCACGCCATTGCACTCTAGCCTGGGCAATAGAGTGAGACTCCGTCTCAAAAAAAAAAAAAAAAAAAAGTCATAACCATTGATATAAGTGGACAGTGATATTCTAGTACCAAAGATGCAATAAGTGAGCAAGAGGTCAAGTCCAGAAGAACCTAGGACTAGGTAACCAGAACTATACACTTCAGGAGAGCTGGCAAGACTGGGGCTAAGCCAGGAAGGTTAAGGAGCTTTTGCACTTCTGTTCCTCTGCATGGAATGTTCTTCCTTACACCATTGCATGAATCTCCTTTATAGTCTTCAGTTCTCAGTTCAAATACTTCCTCAGAAAGACCATTTCTGACAACCCTGTTACTACACTATCAGCATACAAGACTTGCTTTATATCATTGCCAGTTCCTTTTTTCATAGCTACAACACATCTTCAGCTATCTTATTTTGAATTTTACTTGCTTTTATTTACCTCTTTTTGAAAGGTAAGTTTTTTTTGTTTTTTGTTTTTTGTTTTTTTTTTTTTTTTGAGACGGAGTCTCGCTCTGTTGCCCAGGCTGGAGTGCAGTGGCCGGATCTCAGCTCACTGCAAGCTCTGACTCCCGGGTTTACGCCATTCTCCTGCCTCAGCCTCCCGAGTAGCTGGGACTACAGGCGCCCGCCACCTCGCCCGGCTAGTTTTTTGTATTTTTTAGTAGAGATGGGGTTTCACCATATTAGCCAGGATGGTCTCGATCTCCTGACCTCGTGATCCACCCGTCTCGGCCTCCCAAAGTGCTGGGATTACAGGCTTGAGCCACCGCGCCCGGCCAGGTATGTAAGTTTTATAAGATCAAGGACCTTCCCTATAATCCCCACAGACCGGAATATAATATGACAATTCATGAAGGCGGTGCCCAGTAAATATTGTGGCATGAAAGAAGGAAGGGAGGAAGATATTCATAGGCCCCTTGCAGAGACATTGTCATGCACACTACATATATCATAGAATTCTTCTCAAATTTGTCTTGGTTAGACACATTTCCTCTGAATAGAAGATAATGCAATGCATCAATTCCATCCTCAACTATCTGGAATCCCTTGCCATATAAAGGATGCTCTATTGCTACAAAAAGCCTCATTTAGTCTTCATGATATTCTGTGGCAGTGGTGTTATTACTTATCCTGGAGATGAGGAAAGATACAAACAGGACATGAACTGAAATTTTCTAAATCTAAATCTCTTGCTCTTTCCTCTAAACGAAATTCTTAGCTTCTCAGTATCTGTGGTACTGAAATAAAAGAAACATAAATGTTGGTTGTACACGAATCTCCTTTTGCCTTTGTTTTTGTTTTTCCTGGTTTTTATGTATCTAGGAGTATATCTGAGAGATAAAGAGGGAGAAAGAAAGCGACAGTGTGTGCATGTATGTGAGAGAGAACGACGGAGACCCAGACACAGAGAGACAGAAAGACGCACACACATACAGTAAGAGAAAGAGACAGAGAGCAGACAGCGAGAGAGAAGAAGTAGTTTCTGTGGCAGTTTCCAACATTTGCTACATTTTCTGGAGTTAATCAGCTGAAACTTTCTCCAACGCCTAATGTGTTACCTGGGCTCAGGGCAGTTTATTATGATGAACATTGATTTGAACGTAGAAAATGTGAATTCCAATACTTACATCAACATGCATCAGCTTTGCGTCTTTGGGCAAGTTACTTCCTCTTTCTAGACCTCAGTTTTCCCATCTCTAAAATGAGAATAATATCATTTACCTTATATAGGTGTTGGAAAACCTAAATAAGAGTTTGTACTTTGAAATTCTAATGTGTTGGGCACCTTTAAAATCTCCATAAAAATGTGGCACCCTCTCCCTTAGGTTATATTTTTCCTTCTCATTATTCTAAATATAGTGCATAGATAGATAGATAGATAGATAGATAGATAGATAGATAGATAGATTGTGCATACAAAAATATTGTGCATATATAAAGATTGTGTATTGCCTAGGCATTTGTATATTTACCCAAGCAATCCTTTCTTGTGTGTGTATTTCATAAACCTAGTTTAGGCTACTGCAATGTTAGGTATTTATTTAGTTGTTTTTAGTAGTTTTTATACTTTCATTAGTCTTCCTGATAATCCACAAGTATGGAGCTAGATACTATCTGTGATTGCGAATATTTTTTCTTGATATAACTCTAACTAAATTTAAAAAGAATTACAAAAGCAAAATTTGGAAAGATCCTTAGAGGACATTACTTTCAAAGCCAGCTGAATAAAACTTGCCTGGGGAGCTTGGTAAAAATACAGACATTACAATCCAACTCCATAGATTTGGATTTAGTAGGTATGGAAAAGTACCCAGAAATTAGTGCTTTTATGAATCTCTCCAGGGGATTCTGATGCACAGCCGAGTTTGAGAAGCAATGTAATACAGATGAGCAGTTTTCAAAAGTTGTTCAATCAGTGGAACATTCCTTTAACTTCTTTACTTGAAACCCCAACATACAAAACTAATAAAAGCACAACTGTTCTAATTGAAGGGGATGATAAACACCTCATCAGCTCCCCCTCTCTCAAAACCTGAGAACTGCTGAGGAACTCCAGTAAGGAGTAGAGGTTGGAAATGATTGATCTAGACCAAGTCTTTCATAATATTACTCATAGTCATTCGGCTCCAGTTTAAATGCCACCAGTGACATGAGATCTCTCATTTATAAATAGCCTTTGCTACTGAGATGTAGTTATTTATTTACTAGTAATATGTTGCTCCCTTAGAGTTCTGCAGGCTTGTGTATTGACATAATTAAATAATTGTTAGATTAAGTATAAAACTAACAAACCCATACACGTACAGTGAACTCATTTTTGACAAAGGTGCTAAGAACATACATTAAGGAAAAGACAGTATTTTCAATAAGTGGAAAACTGGATATCCATATGAAGAAGAAAAAAATTAGACTCTTATTTCTTGCCATATACAAAAATCAAATCAAAATGGATTAAAGGCTTAAATCTAAGACTTCAGACTATGAGACCACTACAAGAAAACATTGGGGAAAAATCTCTAGGACATTGGTTTGAGCAAGAATGTCTTGAGCAATACCCCACAAGCACAAGTAACCAAAGCAAAAATGGACAAATGAGATCACATCAAGTCAAAAAGCTTCTGTCCGCAAAAGATACAATAAAAAAAGTGAAGAAACAACCAACGGAATGGAAGAAAATATTTGTAAACTACCCATCTGACAAGGGATAGAATGTATAAGGAGTTCAAACAACTTAACAGAAAAAAATCTAATAATCTGATCAAAAAACAGGCAAAAGATTCAAATAGACATTTCTTAAAAGAAGACATAAAAACGGCAAATAAGATATGAAAATGTATTTAACATCATCACTGATAATCAGAGAAATGCAGATCAAAACTACAATGAGATATTGTCTCACCCCAGTTAAAATGGCTTATATCTGAAACAGAGGCAATAACAAATGCTGGTGAGGATGTGGAGAAAAGGGAACAACTGTACACTGTTGGTGGGTATGTAAATTAGTACAGCCACTCTGGAGAACAGTTTGGAGGTTCCTCAAAAGAATAAATACTGGGCTACCATATGATCCAGCAATCCCACTTCTGGGCATATACCCAAAAGACAGGAAGTTAATATATTAAAGAGATGTTTGCACTCCTATGTTTGTTACAGCTCTGTTTACAATAGCTAAAATTTGTAAGCAACCCAACTGTCCATCAACAGATGAATTAATGAAGAAAATGTGGTACATACACACAACGGTGTAGTATTCAGCCATAAGAAAGAATGAGGCCGGGTGCAGTGGCTCATATCTGTAATCTCAGCACTTTGGGAGGCCAAGGCAGGCAGCTCAAGAGGTCAGGAGTTCGAGACCAGCCTGACCAACATGGTGAAACCCCGTCTCTACTAAAAATACAAAAATTATCTGGGCGTGGTGGCGGTCACCTGTAATCCCAGCTACTTAGGAGGCTGAGGCAGGAGAATCGGTTGAACCCAGGAGGCAGAGGTTGCAGTGAGCCAAGACTGTACCACTGCACTCCAGCCTCAGCGACAGAATGAGACTATGTCCAAAAAAAAAAAAGAGAGAGAGGGAGAGAAAGAAT